TTATCTAAAGTCATTTTTATATTATTTATATATTTAATATTATGTTTGAATTGGATCATTGAAGGTCAGCAGCAAAGACACTGGTTAATAAAATGGTATTGAATACATAAAGAATATTTGTGTTATTTAACATTTAATTATTGCAAGTTTGCATCATATTCTGAATTTGCATTTCACTGTTTTTATTAATTTTGAGGAATACTGATCTGTTTTTATGTAAGTGAGATGAGTAAATGAATGTTCAAATTTAGTCAAGAACTACAGTAACAACACGGCACACACAACGTCTCTGCACTTACTCCAGATTTCTCTCAACATGGGGATGGGAGAGCTGTCAGTCAATAAATGGGAAAAGAAAGTAATTGGAGTTACTTGTTTGAAAAAGTAACTCAGATATTTTCTTGTAAATTAAATAGTAATGCATTATTTTACTAGTTACTTGAAAAAAGTAATCTGATTACGTTACTCACGTTGCTTTACCCCCAACACTGATCAGGACTTCATTTATTTTAATCAAAGCCTCCACTGTATTTGGGCTGTCCAGATTGAGGCTATATTGGATTGACCAAATGTCTTAATTCGAGGTGTTTTGAGTTGTCACATCTTCTCCAGATGAGTGAATGTTTCCAATCTGACATTGGTCAGACAAACCGTTAACAGAATGTTAAGAACAAAATGCAGCCATCTCCTTGTAAATGGACACCTACTGAATACATACTGTACAAAGAAATGACAATCCAATGGGGAAAACACACACCCATAAACAACCTGATTCTCTCTAAAGACAACATTGACAAAGTGACTAATTTGTCTGTCTTATTAAGGCAATTCTTAAACAGAAACAATCAGGTCTAGTCTGTGTGAATGATTTCTGCTCTAATTAACCCCAGGTTGCTCTCATCTCATGAGGGTCAGGGCTAATGACTTTAGAGGAGACACAATGTAAACACAACCATGCTTGTCCTCAGAGCGAGTTAATTGATCCCCCCAGTCAAAAAGACAACATAATACTCTCAGGACTTCAATGAAAATAAAGAAAATGAGAGATAGAGCCCCTAGTCATTAACAAGAAGATTCATTTGGTTTGTAGGATCTGGAATTTAAGAAGTCAACTGAGGTTAACAATCATCATCAGATTAGATATCAGAGATAGGCTTTTCTCCTATAATGATTATTTAAAATATTGAGAGTTGGCTGCAGTGATGTATGGTGAGAGAAAAATCAGATGTGAATATAAATAACTTTGATTTTGCTTTGATAGAAGCTCCAGTTAGACAGCAGCTGACATCTGCCTTCAATATCTCTCCAAACCTTCAAATATATCTTCTTTGGAAGCTGCTTTTGCATCACGATTGTTGATGAAATGATTGTTTTGTCAAGTGGCATCCACATTTCTTCTTATAAAAGACAAACACTTGTATTTCATCATTTGTGTGTGTGTGTGTGTTACTTAATGAGCAGAGCCTGGTTATCAAAATTCCCAAAGTCACCAGTTTTCCTTTCCACAGTCCCTTTCTTTAAACTAGTCAACACATAAGGAATTTTAATGAGTCTCAATTAGAGTGATGAAAACAACCATTTTTAAATAATGTGTCTGTACCTTCACAATCCCAAATGAACAGACATCCCAATAATTAGTAAGTGCTTAAGGTAGATAATGCTAATAATAGAACTCTTTGTTTCTTTGAAGAAGTAGCAGATTGTTTTTAACCATTTAAAGCACTGCATTTACTGTAAATAAAAACACTCTATTATCATTATTTGTTGTGTTACACATTTATTTTAAAAATTCATTTAGAATGTATAAGGAAGAGAGAGAGAGAGAGAGATAGAGAGAGAGAGAGAGAGAGAGAGAAATAAAATCTAGATACTGTTGAATATTGGGGTTGTTTTGTGTCAAAATTGCATAAGATCAATAGCTACTGACTGCTAACTTCTGTAATCTGTTGAAAATAGGTCTAGTTGCTTGGCGGGCACTATGCTAATGTGTTCCTGGTGTGTAAAAGATAATATAGAATCGTAATGGCTGGTTGTCCCAGCACTATAGAGAGTGAATTGGCACAAGACCAGAGGAGCACTATGGCTATAAAGACTATGGCTGGCCATTATGAGAGAAAATAGCCTATTTCGATGGGTTTAATTCTTTATCCCTTGCTCTTTTTCTTTTTTGCTGCGGTCGGCATAAATATTTGACCGTTTCCTCAATTTTAGAAAGGCAGTGAATTGGACAAAGTCATTTTGAATTTCACTCAGGCTTACAGGGCCAATGGACTCTGAGTCAGAGGCCTAATTCTTTACACACGGAGAGTGACTAACTCTGCTGGGACGCTATGAGACTGGGGTCTGGAGTAGGTCATGTATGATTAATATGTTCATATGTGAGAAATAGAAAAAATCTGAGTGGGAAAGAGGATTCGTCTTCTTTGTAAGGAGCTGAATATAACAGATGAAAGATGCTGAGGCAGAAGGTATTCTTTCCTTCTTTCATCTAAGGCCTGAACTGAAGCTATCAGCACATATGGACACCTGCAGCTTTCTTGGCCAACATCAGCACCACTAGATTTGCGATATTTTGAGAAACCTCAAAACACTATTTTGAGTATGTATTCCGAAAATAATGAAATATTACCCCTGAAGGTGCAGGAACATAAAATATCCAGAGTAAATATCATATTATTGCTATTTCCCCAGAGTATTAGGACTCAAATAATGTAATTTAATGTTTTTCTTAAAATAGTGCTCTTCTTTTTAAATAAAATAAATATTTTTTAAATGACTCAATAAGCAACACTGACTTGTAGGAGAAATATGAAAGAAATAGTTGGCCCAAATTCTGCCATTTACTCACCCCCATTTCCCGAAAGCATATGATGTTTTCACTGGTAAAACACAAGGATAAAATGAAAAGATCAGTGATTGTAACTGTCAAACTACAAAGCTCACATAAAAGTAGGCCATATGATTTGTATGCATTATTCCAAATCTTTTGAGTTCATTCGATTACTTTATGTGAAAAACAGGCTGTAATTTAAGTCATATTTACTCAAAATCGTGTCATACAAATTTGATTTGCCAAACGCTGGAAAACATATGAGAAGAAACTAAAAGCAAACCTCAATGGTTCTCACGTCTATAGTCAACGCACAATATTCATATCGAGATTTGAGAACTAGAAAAATCTCCCACACACTGAGAACCAAAGCCTAAAGTCACTTTTCAGTACCTACAGGATTTGTATCAGGGGTTGTGATGCTGCACGACTGACCTTGTGTTTAAAATCAAACACCCAATCATAAGGAACCTAGTAATTAAACCTGAGCAAATGAAGCAGGCTTGGGGGCAAGACTCAGGATTTATAGGACGTCAGCTTGCCCTCTTATAGATATGACCCTGATGGGACTAATCCCAGCTCTGCTATAATTATGTCACAGATTTGTCTTGAGTCATGCCTCTGTTCTTTTATTAGCAGCAAATTGTCTCCAACTATCATCAGTATTGGGGAGAGATGTCCTCTAAAGAGAAAAAGAGATTGAGAGGAAAAATTGTGTACACATAAACTGTATTTGAAAGTTTTCAATGAAATCCCACTTACTATAAGAAACTACTAGATGCTTCACTGCAATCAAATTATGTTTGAATGGGAAATAACTGATTTTCTCTCAGCCTGAATTTCCTCATTCTGTTGCCTTTATTTGACATTCTCATTGATAAAATCCAGAATTTTTGTTTAAAAAACAAAATGAAGCATAAGTAAAAAGACCCAAAAATTAGACCCATACATAACAAAACACAAACAGAGCAGTCAATGAGGATATCTTGAGTTTTATTGAGGATGCAAGTCATTTGTTTATAAAATAGTATTATGTCACTGCTCTATATTTTAATTTCACCACAAGGTTATCTAGGCTGCATAACACTCATTCAGAATTTGCTAAGAGATGATGAAGGTTAGAATTGCACATTTTTGTACAGTCAAATCTCCATACGCATACTCACTCTAGACCAAGAGTGTCTTGGCACTGTATACAGGGTTATAGGGTAAAAAAAAGCAAAATTCAAGCAGTCCTCCAGGTAGTGCATGTAATGTTTTTTTTACATTCACCCTAATGCAACTAAACATTCTCAAATTATGTCACGAAAGTCCTTTACCCATTTCATTAAATACATTAATGCCCATTTTTTTCAGCTTTATAAGGGAAGTTATTGTATATTTTTACTTACATTTACCCAGGTTTTTATAACTGGACTGTTTGATGCAATAAGTTAATGCACTGAGGAAAGCATTGAGGAGTGTTACATATATCCTGCACTTTCATAAATTATTTGGAATAGTTATTTATGTATTAGTATTATTTTTTGAAACTGTTAAATGTATACAATTAGACTGCCTTCATTCCATAGCATCTAATACAAATGAACAGCTAAAGCGATGAAATCGCTTAATGAGCCCTGTTGTCTTTGCTGTATTGACAATTTTTCCTATTGAAACACGAATTTTTGGCTAAGGATCTTTTGAAAAATAGTCAATAGTCTTCCATTTACGTCACAGTGGTGAAACATGATTTGTTACTTTCTATTGCTTGCAATGAGATCTGTAATACCTGGAGAAAGCTACCCGTTAGCATTCCCATTCATCTCAATGGCTTGTAGCAAAAACACAGCCTTCTTGATTGCTGGTCCCAAACAGGTGGGAGGGGCATTCCCATTCCACCTGTTT